TTGATCACCGAATAGTATTTCATTGGGTTTATTTATACATATCTTCAACTGTTGGTGGAGAGTTAATCTATAGATTCTCTTAGATTTCCTGTAGATGCAAGGGGTCTTCAAAAGAGTTCATGGATAAATGCATATTATGAAAAAACTATGCATGGATTTTTTAAAAAGTTATTTTTGCACGAAAATAAGCTCATACTTCCTTTTTTTTTACAAATTTTTGGAAGTTCCCCCCATATAGTAAGGTCATCTATGATGATTTCTCATGTACTTCATCTGTCTTTCTCACCTTTTATACTGCTTTGGCCCCCAATATAAAGGTGACCTTGAATATTACCTATTGTTATTATGATTATCAGAAAAAAGATTTCAGTATTTTGCCATGTTTGATGTTAACTGTGAGTTTTTGTAGCTACCTTGTGTCAGCTTTAGAATTGTTCTTCCTGTTTCTAGTTTGATGCAAGATTTTATCATATATTGCTGTCAATATTGACTAAATACTTATTAGCACTGGAATCTATTCACATTTTGTTTAGAACCTTCATGGCAGTGTTTGTGAGAGGGATTGGCCTGTGGCTCTCATTTCTTTAAATGTTCTTGTTGGGTTTTGAAATGAAGATTATGCTAGCTTCACAAAGCATTGAGCTATGACTGGTCACTATCTTTTCTGTTCTCTGGAAATATTTGTGTAAGTTGTGCATTGGGTTTTTTTTCCTTGAATGTTTAGTAAAAGTATCAGATGAATTTACCTAGACCTGAAGTTCTTTTGTGGAATTACGTTTAACTAAAGATTCAGTGTTTTGTTTTTTAGGCTTTTGCCATAGGGCATGTGCACTTGCTAGAGAGAAAGAGACAGAGAGTGAGAGGGAAAGTGAAAGATCACTTCTGGGTAGGGGAGAGGGCAATGGCCATGCCAAAATCCCTTCTCCTCCATTCTTCTCTCAGGATTTTGGGCACACACACACACACACACACACACGTACCCAGCGTAATTTTCAAGCCATCAGGTCCAGGATCAAACCACAGTCAGCCATGTAGGAGTTCAGCAACTTAACCACTACACCATCTGCTGGCTCTAAGACTCAATTTTTAAAATATAGCACTATTAAGATTTTTCGTTTCTTCATGTGGCCATTTGGTGAATTGTACTTTCCTCAGAGTTCTCCATTTTATGCAGATTGCCTAGTTTATTTGCGTAGAGTTGCTCAATGGCATCATTTATTAGCTTTTTAAATACTCACAGGATCTCTATTAGTGTGTTTTCTATTCCTAATTTTGGCTGTTGGTGCTGTCACTATTCTCCTTGGTATCCAGTCTTGCTAGTGGTTTTCCCAGTGTCTTTCTTCAAAGTATCAGTGCTTATTGATGTCTCTGTATTGTTCTGTTTTCTCTTTCTTAATCTTTGAGTCTTATTTTTGCTATTTCTTTCTTTCTACTTTCGTTGGTTTTAATTTACTGGTTTTCAGGCTTCTTGAGATGAATGCTTACATCATTGATATTTTCTTCTTTGCTGATGTATTTAAGACTATAAATTTCCCTTTAAAGCTATAAATTTCCCTTTAAGCAGGATTTAGTGGCACCTCATAAATTTTGAGATGTCATAATTTCATCAAGTTTAAAATAATAAGTTTTCCTTATTATAAAAGCAGTATCTTTTCAGTGCCCTAAACTTGGAAACCAGAAAATACAGTGCAAAAAAAAAAAAAAAAAACAGAAACAAAAACAACTTGTACTTATACCACCCAGAGGTAATCACAGTTAACATTCTGGCATAGAGACTTCATTTTTTAAAAAATGTATATTAAATTCTCCTTTTCAAAAGTATATATACACTTGTATGAAAAATTATGGTATGTTTATCATCTTATAGACTTTTGCCACCTCCACTCTTTTAAATGACTAATTTATAGTCTTTTTAAAGTAACAGATCAATAATCACTCTGAGTGGGGCAATAGTTTATATTATAGTCCTACCACTTATGAAGAGAAAGAAATCATAGAGTATAAAATGACAATTAGCTAGACTGGAGGGGCCTGTGAGGAATCTAGAGAACAAATGAGATTAAAGCCTCTCTGTATACAATTCTTAACAGATAATGCATAATAAGGATTCCCACCAGCCCCAATAATTAGCACATTGATTCCCAGGTGGGTTTACTTTGGCATGATTAAGCACCCTATGTCTTATCTTTCTCCAAATTGAAGGAGTCAAGCATTTTTTTTTAATAGACACCACTGAGGAGAAATTGAATTTCATTCTTTCTTAACAGAACTAGGGCATGGGGGGTAGGGGGAGACTAATTCCATAAACAGTAGTTTGTTTATTTAATTTATTTATTTTTAGATTTTTGCCATAGGATGCATCCACTTGCCACACAGAGACAGAGGGGAAGTAAGAAATCACCTCCCAGAGGAGATGGCTATGCCACCAATCCTTTAATCCCCTCTCTTCCATTCTCCTCTCAGGATCCTGGGCATGTATATACACACACCCAGTATGATTTTCAAGCTACCACATCCTGGGCTGGAACTGCTGGCAACCATATGGGAGTTTTGCCCCTTAATTATCATGCCACCTATTGCCCCCAACAGTGTTTTTGTTTGTTTGGTTTGGTTTTTTTTTTAGATTTTTGCCATAGGTACAGGTGCTTGCCAGGAAGAGACATAGAAGAGGAGAAATCACCTGCCAGAGGGGTGGTTACACTGCAGTCCTTCTCCGTTTTCCTCTTGGGATCCTGGACACACACATACATGTACCTGGCATGATTTTCAAGCCACCAGGTCCAGGACCCTAACTGTGGTCAGTCATGTGGGAGTCTGGTACTTTAACCACCACATCATCTGCTGACCCCAGTGGTCATATTTTTAATATGAATTGTTTGTAACAGCTCAAGGGTCAACTAGTCAAAGATGCTTGAGAATTACCATTTGTGTGTCAGCTATATTTAACACCTCCCTAATATCGATTAACACTTGGAAATGAAATAGAAAAATATCATATTTATAAGTCCACTGGTGATTGAGGAGAGATGAAATATACTAATTGTAGGCTACACAGTGATCTTATATCATGATTTTATGAGGAATAATTTTGGCTTCATGCCAAGCTTGAAGTAGCAATAGGTTTCATAGATACGGTTGCCAAGTGTACCATGAGAAAACTGAGAACTCTCGTTCAAAAAATAGCAGTGAAATTGTTTCATCCATTACCACAACTCAGTGTCTAATTTGACAATGACATATAGCTGAGGGGAGGGCAATCTGTGTCAGATGAAAGAGATAAGATTTAATACTTGTTAAAATACTTATTTATGCAGTGTCAGGGTGAGAGAAGCAAGATATGACTGCTTAATGAAATCAGTGGTGGCTGAGGTTGCATACATAGATTGTAGCATCTACTGTAGAAGAGGCGAGAAACCCCCAGGGCTTTGTAAACAGCAGATTTCCAATCTCAAGCACACTCAGTCACATGGCTCCTTAGAGCTGTGCGGACCCCATTGTGGAGGTTATTGAGGAAAGTTAAGTGAAATACAAAAGCTACTTTGAAGAATTCTTATATAACATGGAAGTGAAATAGACATACTCTCACATTTCAACTGGTAAAATTAAAGCTTTTCAGTAGAAATGAGAAACAGGTTTTAACTCAACATAATACCTTGTCTTTATGCAGTGTTTCACTAATTTCATATGCATTATTTAATATTGATTTCTTACTATCATCTGTGATGGGGTAGTGTAATTTCTAAGGGTAAAATTAAAACTCTTCAGTAGAAATGAGAGGGAAACAGGTTTTGACTCCATGTAATAACATCGTGTCTTCATACAACGTTTCACTAATTTCATGCATTATTTAATATTGATTTCTTACTATAATCTGTGATGGGGTAATATGCAGCTCAGAAAAATCAAATCATTATGTAGTATGATGGCAAGCTTTGCCGTTCTAGATCTGTTCAGGCAATGCCCAGAGAGTCAGGTGTTGGCAGTGATACAGAAGGGTGTGATGTATTGGACCTGTGTTCTTAATAACCCTTATGGATGTACAGGCATGGCTTAGGTGCAGTGCAGGATTCTTACAGTCATTTTTTTTCTCTCAGTGTTCATGTGCACCCTCAAGTGTTATATGCCGACTTTTGTCAACCCTATTTGATACTTAGTTATTCAAGACCTTTGTTGTGCTAGCACTGGCTATTTCTCCACATTGCTGATGTATTTGATGTGCTTCCCTGACTGACCTTGTGACCGTAATTTATCCACCATGCTTCTCTCTACATGTGTCTCCCCGGGCCCCTGTTTCAGTGGCGTGCTTTCCTACCAGCTCATGAGAATCAATTGTGCATCATTCTTCTTATTCACTGCTATCACAGTGGTAGATTGAAATCAGGTATACTGGGAGTATTTATACCAGGGAAATTGGCAAATCATATAACTCAGGACTTTGCTGCCCAGAGAGCTGGTTGTTTACCATTTATTGCCATATAATTTGCCTATTTCATTTATAAATCAACATCTGGTAACATAGAGCCCAAACTTAATCTTCTCTTCAAAATGTGATCTGTTGCTGATTCAGATGGGCAAGTCATCATCCATTATATTTTATTCTTATATACAAGTAACTCTTAGAAGATACTAAAGTAAAAGGTAAAGGACATAAGTATCCGTGGGTTATTTTCCAAGGCCATACGAATGAAATCTTTAGCCCCAGTAAAACTGCAATAACTCTTATATCCTTAAAAACACACCATATCATTATTGTAATGACTAAGAATATGTATATAGCCGTATATGCCCTTTTTAGAAAAATAGCAAGCCACTGATTTCTGTGTAGTCCAAACATCTTTAATAATGTGATATTGTAAGATAAAGTTGAGAATCAGTGAAGTAAATAGTTTAATTTCCTTTTCTACTAAAACTGTAAAACGCTGATGGAAAATTTATTTAGCCTAATATGTTTGTTGTGGTTCTGTTGTTTTGAAAATCACATTTGATTTTTTTGAAAACAGATCAACGCCAGGAGCAACCAAAGAGAAGAAGAATTAGGAAGCATAAATCAAAGAAAAAATTTAGAAATTCCAATAATGCCCATGTAGAACAATCAGAATTAGATACACAGCAGAGTCTTTTACAAGAAAAATTACAGCCACACCACACAGATGGCCCCACAATAAGCAAAAATAAAAAGAGGAAACTGAAAAAGAAACAGCAAATTAAAAAGAAGAAAGCAGCTGGCTTAGTGACAAAGACCTCTGGTATCAACTTCATGTACCAACCTGAAGAAAGCAACAGCGAGCAGGAAAATGTGCTATATACTGATGAAAAAGTTAAAGACATTAGTGAGGAAGATGCTACAGATAATGCCAATGAAGAAGATGTTAGACGTACCAATGTGGAAGATGTTACAGATAATGCCAATGAAGAAGATGTTAGACATACCAATGTGGAAGATGTTACAGATGTCAATGAGGAAGATATTAAAGGTGCCAATGAGGAAGATATTAAAATTACCAAGGAAAAGGCAGAGAGTATCCTAAAGTTTTTGAAATCCACACAAGAAATTTATTTTTATGATGGTATGTGTTTTCCCTTTTTTCTTTTGAATAATGGCATGGCATCCACTTAACAATTTGGAAAAGTAAATAAGCAGTAAAATATATTAATGTTTGAAATCTAAAGCACATTAATGGAGACCAGCAGATGGCATAACTGTTATGTCACTGGACTCCAACGTAGTCGACTAAAGGTTAAGTCTTGGACCCGGTGGCTTAAAACTCATGCTGGGCATGTGTGCATGCATGTCCAAGGTCCCAAGAGGAGAATAGAGAAGAGATTGAGCCATGGCCATCCTCTCTGCAGGGGTGATTTCTCACTTTCTGTCTCTGTCCCTTTCTTATTTTTTTATTTATTTATATATTTTTTTTGGAGAGGTTTTTGCTATAGGGCGCATGCACTCGCCAGAAAGACAGAGAGAGACATAGAAACAGAAAGCGAGAAATCACCCCCCAGCGGGGATGGTCACGCTGCAATCCCTTCTCCTCCATTCTCCTCTTGGCATCTTGGGCACGCATGCACACGTGCCCGGCATGAGTTCTAAGCCACCAGGTCTGGGATGCGAACCGCGGTTGACTACGTGGGAGTCCAGCGACATAGCCATTACCCTAACTGCTGGTTCCCTGTCTCTGTCCCTTTCCATCTCTCCAGCAAGCTCACGTGCCCTATAGCAAAAATCTCTGTCAAAAAATTAATGTATTCAAAGTAAATATAATTAGTTATAATATTTAAATTATTCTCACCAATAATCTGGACTGGCACATTGCCCTAGGAATATCAAGAGAAATAACAGTCAGCCATAGTAAAGGTGTGTGACTCCCAAGCATGGGGAGGTCTCGTGTTCTTCATTTCTCTATGATCAGATGTTAGAATTATAGGTATTCTAGGCTATATTTCTAAATAAGAGATAGTAGGTAGCTTCAAAAGGTTACTGGAAAAATGGAATTAAAGTAGAAGTTTAATTTGGTACCAAAACATTTGAAATTCATGCATACTTTTTATAGCATGTATATTCCATGAAGTTTTTGAAGACCCCTCATAAATCCAGATTAGAGGTTTTGGTGAACTTATTTTCATAAACAGATGTAAAAGTAAAAGAAGCACAACCCTCTCCTTTATGACATATTTTATTTTCCTGTCCTATATATGGCTTACTAATTTAAGATTTTTTAGTAAGCATTTTTGAGCAACTATTGGTATTTATATAGAATGTGGAAAATAAAAGTAGACTTATTGTCATGGATGGTAATTGCTTAAGGTTGTATTACACTTTACTAACAACTGACCTAAGGATTAGGAAGAAGTATGTGTAATGAGAGTGATTATACTCAGAACACCACACTCAGAATGAGCTGCTTTCCTACTTTGATGATATCACTAGCGAATTCAGGGGAATGTGTAAAGTTTAGTAGATCTAGATTTCAGCAACACGTTTGATAGTGTTCTTATGAACCAAGATGGAGAAATACTGACTACATAATCATTTGGGAAATAACTGATTCAAACAGTGGTGCAAAAACACTATGATTAATCAATTAGAACCAAGAAGATGGTTGCAGGTGACTTTAACCCTTTTAGTATGTTCACAGTTTTTAGTAACAAGTTGGAAACGTAATACATGTCCAAATGACACCAATAGGAAGGCACAGGTAATACACTATAAATAAAACTAAGATTCAAAAAGAGCTCAGTAGATTATTTTTCTATATGTATGATAGAGAAGCTCATGGCAGGCCAACAGTTATGCCAAGAATAACTAGAAAAGCCAAATCAAAAAAACAGTATCTGTCATAGGTATCTAAGAGCTATTGAGGTATCCAGCTCATAAGAGGACAAGATTCCAGAAACCACATGGGAAAGTGAGCCAACATTCTATAGCTTTTTTTTTTTTTCAAGATATTTGCCAATTCTACATATAGGGTATCAGGTGAAGGTCTGTGTAAAGGACTTAGTGGTGCAAACCCACGAAGTGTTTGTCAGTATCACAGCTCTGGAGAGTGCAGGCTGGTGAGAAATGGGGTCAGAGAATAGAACCCAGTACTCTTCTGATTTTCTCTCAAAACCTTTGCCAAATTCTGAAGCTTTGGGGTGGAAAGTAAGAAACTAAGTAAAGAGCCTCTGAATAACACAGTGAATCTCTTGGCAGCCTTGAAGTATTGAACAGACAAGGATTCACCTGAACCTCAAACCCAGCATAGTAGGCTAAGCTTTCAGAGCAAGGGCAGACCAGAAGTAAATGACCCTTCACCAACATGCAGTCCACCCCATAGGCAGAGCAGCCCTGAATGGGTCAGATTGATCCACCCCCACTTTGTCTAGAGAACAAAGGGTGAACCCTCTCTGTATGAAAATGTCACTATCCAAGACCTCTGCAACTTTTTATATACAGTCAGTAAAAATTTATCAGGCATGCCAAGTTACAGGACTATATAACCAAAACCTATGAGAGAAAAAAAAAAGGCCGTAGAGGCATGTCATAGGAGTGGGAGATATTGATATTATCAGACAAGGAACTTAAAATAACTGTAAATGAGATGCTTAAGAAAATAAGGAGAAATAAAAAAAAATGAAAAGTTAAAAATTTCAACAGATAATTTGAATTAATATAAGCAAATGGGTGGGACCAGCAGTTGACTTAATGGCTATGTCTCTGGACTCCCATGTAGTTGATTGCAGTTTGGGTCCTGGACCTGGTGGTTTAGACTCACGCTGGGCATATGTGCCTGTGTGCCCAAGATCCCGAGAGGAGAATGGAGGAGAAGGGATTGCAGCATGGCCATCCCCCCCCGGGGGGGGGGTAATTTCTTGCTTTCTGTATGTCTTTCTTTCTGGTGAGCACACATATCCTATAGCAAAAACCTCTCCAAAAAAAAGATAAGCAAATGGAAATTCTAGACCTGAGAAATATAATAATTGAAATCAACTAAAAAATGAGTAGACAGCAGGTTAGATTCAGCATAAAAGATAATTTATAATTTGAAAGGCAGGTCAAAGAAAGTCTCCAGAATGAAGGCTAGAAAGGAAAAAAAAAAGATGGAAAATACAGAAAAGAGCATAATAGACATGAGACATAAATGAGAAGGTCTAACATCTGTGTAATTTGAAGTCCAAGAACAGCAGGA